GAGAGAGAGAGAGAGAGAGAGAGAGAGAGAGAGAGAGAGAGAAAGAGAGAGAGAGAGAGAGAAGGAGGGAGCGAGTATATTCATAGAAATTACGTTTGCCGCTTGCGCGAAGCGTAATATCTGAAAAATTTTTTGTCGGGATTTAGCGGGGCATTGCGGTACACGCAAAAAAAACAGGCAAACGCGAATTCGAGGAATGTCACAGAGAGCCCGAACAAATCTGGATCTGATGTCGCTTTTAACAATATTATTCCTAAATTGGAATTCCCCATCTACTCTATTTTATAAATGATACCTCTTCTCCGTCTCTATACGCGAGCGAGCGAGCGCGCATATACCCGTTTTTTCCGAACGTTTCGAAAAGCCAAATAGATCGCAAATCGGACAAACGGATAAGTAACGTGGGAGATGGGGCACTACCTCCGGGGAGGAAAGAAAAGAACGAGGAAGCGGCAAGAGAGAGAGCGAGAGAGAGAGAGAGAGAGAGAGAGAGAGAGAGAGAGAGAGAGAGAGAGAGGAAGTGAGAGGAAAAGAGGAAGGAAGGAAGGAAGGAAGGACGAGAGACGAGACGATAACGGCGTACATCTTGACGAGAAAAGCGAGACATGGGCTCAGGTCGCGATTGGTCGACGTAGTTTCATCCGAGAGCATTCTAACGTTTCACAAGGGTGTTAACACAAGGGCGAAATGACGCGGCGGGAAACATGAAACACGAGAAGGATCCCACCTCGGCGGCATCCCCCTGGGTTAGGACGCGAGACGAGAGTTCAAGACGACAAGGTTTCACATATAAGGTCTATTTCGCGGAGGAAAAAATCGAACAGGGTCCTTTGGCATTGGGGAGGGACGCAGGATGTAATTAAGAACTCTCACCGGAGATTAACTACAACATGGAACACCGCGACACGCGCGTGTTCTAACACACAAAACACGCATCCATGTACACACTCCTACCTACACGTACACCACGTAAAAGTATACACACACACAAACTTGTAGGCACACGTAAAAAAGGAAAGGTACTCTACCCATGCATTTGTACACACATAACATAACCACATACGTACGTAAGTACACGTTGTTTATACGCCGACAAGGGACGAGAGGAGGCGAGGGTCGACGGGGTGATAGGTCGCTCGCGTGACCCTCGCCGGCGATATAATAATCAATTTATTTGCTCACGTAAAAAGTAATGGTATTAATATATTTCATATGTGCAATAGGTGTAAAGAGATTAATTACATTAATTGATTAACTGTGTACAATCTGCGAGAGAATGAGAGAGAGAGAGAGAGAGAGAGAAAGAGAGAGAAAGTGAGCGAGAGAGCGAATGAATCTGAGCGGGAGTCGGAGAGGTAGCGAGGGAGGGAAGGAGAGAGGGAAAGAGGGACACTTCTGACACTCACCGAGCCGTGTGAGGCCGCGCGCGGTGGTGCTGTTGACGGTGATTGTTGGACGATGACAGGTGGGACAGGAGGCTCTATGTAGCTATCCACGTGTACGGATCGCCAGGTGGATAGGATCGAGATACACGTGTCTCTGTGCGTCGAAAACGTGCGGGAAGAAGAGGAGAGGGGCGAGCCGATTGAATGCCGAAGGAGTCAATTTAGCGCGCTGGGACTCTCGACAGCGAGAGGGCAGTTTGCGAGCAGGCACGGAGTGACGTGGGAGGGGAGGGGAGGTGGAAAATGAGCAAGAGGAAGATGAGCAGCAGAGCGGAGGACGAGGAAACAGAGGCGCGGGAGCCTCGATAATCACCGCATCAGTTCTTACCGATCGCTAAGGGGATTAACTTTCCTACGTGGAGAGGGTGGGAAGCTAAGCAATTAATTAAAGCGCGCGGTGGCAACGGACGACGAAGGGAGCGGACGAAGAGAGCCGGCCATCGACGGAGGAGGGTCGACGAGAAGCATACGCGCATCGAGTTCCGTACATGTACTCATGCACACACGTGTACACGTGGCGGGAAAAGGACGAAGAGAAGGAGCGGACGGATGAGGCTCTCGAGTGGCTCCGCGAACAATGGCGGTGGGTGAGTCGAAAAAGCGGCTGTAACAAAAAAAAAAAAGTCGTCGGTGTCCGGCGCTCGCGTTATCGCCGTTAATCGCGTCGCTTTTTACGCGCTCGCGCTCTTGCGCCACCTCTATTCGGTGTCGGTAGTCAGTGAGGGATCTCTTTCGAAATTGAAGCTCTCTCTCGGCCGATCGAGCGCGATCGATCGTTCCGGTCTGTTCCTATTTGGCTCGTACGGTCTGATGACATATAGTGGGCGATATCTTTCAGGAAAATCCCGCCGTTAGGAGACACGTTCTAAAAAGAATGCTCGCGCGTAACAAAATAGGGCACACATCGCTCGCGCGCGCGTGCGCGCGCATGTGCATCCATACACGCGATATGGCTTTTCCGCGTAAGAGATTATAAATATTGAAGGTGTGCGATATAACGCGCGCGAGACGTGACAGTTAAAATTAACTTGCGAGACGTCCGCCGCTGGCCCTTTGACTATCAGCCAGGACGGCAGGGATGAGTTGGCTCTCGTCGGGACGTTCCTTTTACCGAGGCTAGTAGCCGTGCGTGCTCGCGATCGGAATAAATCGGCGGGAGAGGGAGAGAGAGAGAGAGAGAGAGAGAGAGAGAGAGAGAGAGAGA